GAGGCAAAGAGCCATAGAGGCAAATGAAATAGTTGCCAATATCCATATGAAAGGTACATTATAGAAGGCTGCAGAGGCTATCTCCCTCTCATCTTCTCTTCCACATGATCATCATTGCCAGTCTTATCAGAAAATTATTCCTATTACCAGCTGAGTTAAAGGCGAACACCATCTGCCAATGCCAGTTGACATAGTCAAACTGAATGGCCTTGTGATTTAAATTTAATGAATTGCTAAAATATTCATGTCAAGATTTTCCTGGTCCATAACCTCTTTCCTGTCTAATTTAATACCCAACATCCTGTAAGAGGAGACATCACTGTAATTTGGAATACAAATTCATATTCCTAGACTCATTATTGGCAACAGCTATAATTATTTTTGGCATCCCAAGAGATAGTAGCAGCAGTAAACTCTTCATTAATGGTTGCTACAGGAACTATGGATTCTGCTTCACAGTTTCGTTCCTTCTAACCTAGATTAATTGTATGCATTCCCTGTAAATTGTCCATATCTAGAGCCCTTGGCTGGTATATAGGGCATGGCTCCTTGATAGAGAGAAAAATTTTGCTTCTGAGGACCATTCCGTTGGCTATAGGATCTTATCTTCAAGTGTTATTCACAGAGTTCTCTATATTGATGATACAGAGAAAGGCAATATTTATTCAAACTATCTTAAAAACATTCCTTCTCTACTCTAGAACTTTGCTTGCAGTCAGCCCAAGTTCCCTAGTCTGAATTTATAGAATTGTTCCTTTTCTTAGATTACAAATTTGCTTCCTGAAATTTCCTATCCACACAGGTGTAACAGAACTATTTTGTGGAAACATTGAAAGAAAACAAACTTGCCTTTAAAAAAATTATTTTTTTGCCATTTTTTATTGGGTTTTTGTGACTGCTGCTAACTATACACATATAATTCAACTGAAATAACATTAAAATTTTATCTTGATTTACTATTATTATAAAGAAAGTACTTTTGTAAATAGAGATTTTTTTAAAAAAGATAATTTCACAAAGTTTTAGAAAGGTTGTCTAGATACCATACAATTTAGGTTATAATATTTAAATATACTTGGGTTGTCTAGAGTTAAATAGATAATATGAGTATGTGTAGAGGCACAATTATCCAAATATTCCTAAATATACTCGGGTTCTGTAGAGTTAAATAGATAATATGAGTATTTTGTAGAGGTACAATTTTGCAAATATTCCTAGTAACAGAAAGAATTCACTCTATATTAACAATCATGGGTACCAGCCAACAGGCTATCCTTTAATTTTTATGGTTGTCTCCATTAGCTATCGCTAAAAAACAAACCCTCCCTAAATACTTTTTATTTAGCTTATGATTCTTTAGCTTATTTAGCTTATTTAGGCCAAGTGGGGTAGTTCTTCTGGTCTTAGAAGAACTCAGGGACTTTTTCATGAGTCTGCCTTTCCTGGTCTTTGCCACGGGACTTTCTCATATCTCTGCCTGAATTGGGCATCCGAGCTCGCCAGGCTCTGGTCTACATGGACTCATCCTCCTGTAGTCTGGCCTGGACTTTTTCACTTGGTGGGGGCAGAACCCCAAGAGAAAGAATGAGAGTGGAAGATCTTCCAAGTATAAAGTTCAGCGCTGGCACATTGTCACCTCTACAGTGGTCTATTGGCCAAAGCAAGTCCCAAGGCCAGAGATAGATTTTATCTCTTGATGGGAGGACCTGCAATCTCATTGAAAATAGAGTGAATACAGAAAAGAAAGAACTGTGGCTTATTTTCTTTCTACCACAATGCCTCTGACATATTTAAATATGGCTCCCATTTTAAGTGTGAGGCTAGCAAATCTAGACTTAGCTTATATTTAATGTCATTTCTAATTTCTAGAGCTCTTAGCTTTCTCCATTTATATGCATGCATCCCAGTACTTAGGTAACAATATCTGTGTTTGCCATATTTCTCCATCCTACAATATCATACTTCACACATAGTAGCTTTTAAATATATACTATTTACCCTATTACTTTATCAATATCACTTCATTGTATTAGCTCTCAATATTGCAGATCCTTTTAATCTCTAAAATATTAAAGAATTTTAGTATAAATAAATAACACATACTATAAGTTCAAGATTTGAAGCAAAATATTCTAAAGATATAATTCACTCTTCTGAAGATTAATTCCAGAACAAACTATAGTGCCTTACAAATATACTTAGTTGACTAACTTATCATAAGCAGTGGATACATGATCAAAATAAAAATTCACCATGCTGACTCAAGACCATTGAGGAAATGTTTACACAATGGTTGACAAAACAAATTATCGAACAGATATAAAGTCTATCAACACAATGCTCGGTAAACTCATCGGATGTGTTTCTAGATTTATTTTTTCATTTTTACAGTTGACAAATTCAACAGAGCTTCTCCTTAAATTCCATGTAAGACACCACCTTGAAGGATTTGGAGTTATTTCCTATGAACCTAAAGTTTTAGCTAATGGCAAATTTCTTGAGAAAGCTCTATTTGTTTTCTGTAATTCAGAAATTGTCATTACTCACAATGTAGCTTATATTAGGAGTCACTTTCCCCTACAAGTTTAGGCTCCTTTCCTGTTGACTCTTTACAAATTTGCTTTGTCATCCCGAAAATGGTCTCGTTACAACTGAATAACTTTTGTGAAGAAATAAAATATCAGATACATTGCATAATATGCACGGGGCAAGTTGCAACCAGTACAATCATCCTAAGCAAAGATCTTCAGCAACACAATTATACTCACATATATAAATACCTATTAATTTAAACCACATGAGAGTTGTTATTTTGTGGGGCATAAATGAATAAATACTGTTAATCTCATAAGATCAATTTAAAAATATACACATACCATAATATATACGTAATTATATACACATATATACTCATATTATTTCATGGTGGAGTAGAATAAGAGGAAGGTTGATAAATTTACAAATTGAAAGGTATCCAGACAGTAGTCCAAATAGCGGATATATAGTCATTGCCTTTTGAGGTTCCCTGTGGCAAATGTATACAAAGAATGTATTCTAAGCCAATTATTTTGCCCTTCATTTAAAGATAAGCTTTGCAAGCAAGTAACCAGTTAATGGCTTTTAAACATTTTTTTTTTTTTTTGTAATGGAACCATTGGTTGAAATGGAATTTGTGTTGTGCCCTAATTTATGAAATAGATAAAAGTGGACATATTCTGATAGAAGTTAGAAGAGTGAATCCAAAAACATCACTGAGTCATAACATTTATAAAATTTGAGTAGAAGTGCAATAGTAGATGATTATTGCATCAGGTAGATTTGCCAAGACATTAGACTAGGATTTCTTAAGTTGAACATCTGTGGCCTATTACCATCATCACACACCATCTCTTATTTTAATGTCAAAACCAAAATATGCATATAGGTTTAACTGATTCTTCTTAACTTTATATTCTAAAGTTCAAATTTAGTCAGAGATTTGGGAATTGGCTACCGAAGAGCAGAAATGAAATATAGGGTAGATTGGGGCGGCATGTGGTAAATTCTAAAGAAGCAGATATACAGATTTTATTTAATCTTAGTTTATTTTCTAACTATTTGAAGTATGCTATGCTTGTCTTCCTATTGGTGATAAAGGCATCTTAAGGAACAACCTCTGTTTTTCCTTAGTTTATGTTATAATTCCTTCATTGGAACAATGCTTTACAGATGGTAGAGACTGTCTAAACATCCATTGTATTGATCAGACAGGGAGAGAGAGAGAGGGAGAGAGAGAGAGAGAGAGAGAGAGAGAGAGAGAGAGAGAGATGGAACCTGCCCTAAAAAGAAAATGCCACTTTTACTCATTTGCACATATACCTGCTTTTTTTGAGAGAGAGAGAGAGAGAGAGAGATGAAGTAAACACAGGGAGATAAATCCCTGATTTGTAAAGATAACCTAAGAATTATTGTCACGAAATAGTGACTTCTTTAAATAAAACCAAAGAGGAATAAAGAAATTTGGCAGAAGCATTATCCCTGAATTTATTTATTAAAGTTTGGTTTTTTTTATGATAGTGATATTTAAATCATTCCACATTTATTCACGAATGCTTTGTGGTGACTAATAAAGGGATTTGCAAAGTTAATCCAAGCCAAACCAAATCAAACATCACAGAGAAAAATATAATCACGAATGTGATTGTTAGTCATGCCGTGACAATGAAAGCTAAATCATTCCTTGTATTAAATTAGCTTTTACAAAGGCATTTCTATTTTAATCAATAAAAACAAGAAGAAAAGAAAGGTAAGCTTTGATTGAGTCAGGATTTGTCTTGGAACATATCAAAGGGGTATTGGATGACCACACTCAAAAGCTTTGAAGAGTCTTTTTGCGGAATGCTGCAATTGCTTGAGCCAGGTTTCTTTTCTTTGACTGAACGCTAGACCAGTTACTTATTTGTTATTGAATCATAATTTTAATGAAATATTCTCAATCTCAAAGTTGTTATAAAAACCTGCTGTACAGTCAGCTTTTACTATGCTCCAGATACTTTCATAGGGTTATCTCATGTAGTCATCAAAGAATTTTGTCAAGCAGACAACATGATTCTAATTTTACAGATAGGCAAAACAAGGCTAAGTGAGTTTAATTAACTGGCTCAAGGTATCACAATTAGTAAGTAGGAGAACTGGAAATCAAGTCTTGGTCCATTTGATACTAAAATCTATGTACTCATTAAATCATGCTGCTTTTCAAAAAACATGAAAAATAAATAATCTCCTAAAGAAAATATTGCTGAATGATTTTGCATTTCAGATTATTTTTAAAAGTTCTGTTTGATAATATAAATGAATATAACGTCTACATATTACTTTTCACTTTTGAGTCCTTAAGTATGTATATTAAACTGCGTGCCCACTTATACTCTCTAGCATGATATAGATTACTACTGAAAATATTGAAAGGTTTTAGAAGTTATGGTCTTCAAATGGCTTATTGATAGTATAATCTGCATTACCTTAGGCAATCTTCTCTTGGATTCAGAATTATCTTTGGGGATAAAATCTTTAATGAGCCGAGATCGGTCATAATTAGCATGTTCTGATTCATCGATGTAATCTTTATCTTTTCCTAGGGCTAGAAAAGAGACAAAGACAATTACATCCATTTTTATCCTTCTTTTTTTCTCTCTCTTTAACATATACTAATCTTTTTTAAATGTTTACCCAAGGCTCAGTCAAATAAAATTTGGCCCATCCACCCAATAAATAAGCCAGAAAATTAATAACACAAAAGCTTGTCTGTTAGTGAGTTAATATGTACACTACAGTAACTTCATGAGAATTAAATGCATCTCTGCTATTTAATTACTTAAAACTGTTTGAAAATAAAATTAGAATTATGCTAATTCTATTGGATACATCATCTCCTCTGAAGTTGAAGATATTTGTAAGAATTCAGTAGATTCTTAAGCATTTATTTGTTTAATTAAAAATTGTATAACTTTGAGAATTATTTTCTTAAAAATTGGAAAGTTTATAAATGTGAATTTGACTTAAAGGTGTAAGAAGTCTGAGAAATCATAGAAGAAATTTTAACAAACATTACAAGGAAGATTTAAAAAATATATTAGGAGACTGAACTCAAACTACAATTGCAAAAAGGAAAAAGGTCATGGAAAATGATGTTTACCATTGAAATGATACAAGCGGTAAGACACTGTAGTATCAGTCATATATAAGTATATGAATAATGAACACGCTATAATCAGTGTAAAAGAAAATAAAATAGAAAATCTCTATGGTGACTATAAAAAGTACTATTGACACACTTCACAAAATTCATATTCCATGTGATACAAATATCTCTTCAAATTAAAAAACAAAAAGATTCATATATATTTAGACTTTTAAAATTAATTAAAATGTTTTAGAGAGAGTTTTTTCTCCCTGATCTGTTACTACTATTAAGCATTAATATTGACTTGGACGACTATATGTAGTAATTTAAAGAGTTCAATCATCTGACATAGTATTATGACAGAAGAAAAAACAATTTGTTTATAATGCATGCATTGATTTCTTTTATTAGTAAAGCTTAACATCTGCTATAACATGATATGCCAGGGATAGCTGGTAGTACCAGGTTCTTAACAGTAGTATGAACGAAGATCAGACAGATCACATTATGTCTTAGGATATAATTAATTGCCAATTATGTTAAAATTCTCTAAGTATTTAAGGTTATAACTAGACCTATTAATATAGCTAACACGGGTGGAAGATTAACATACAAAGAACTGGAATCTTTATATGTATTATTTCTTTTAACCCTTATACAACTCTATAAAGAGGGTATGATTTTTTACTTACATTTAATAATAAATAAATTAAGGCATATGGAAATTAAATAGCATGCCAAAGTCACTAAACCAACAAGGGGTACATCCAGAACTGAAACTTATCAGGATCTAACTTCAAAGCAGATGTTTGTGAAAATACTGTTTCCTCTAGATTTAAGTAAATTACAATTCATTCATTCAACAATTGTTTATTAAACACCTATGACATGCCAGACATTCTTTTAAGAGTTATAGCAGTAAACAGAACATTCAACTAAGAGAAGAAAAATAAATAAAAACAAATAGAGTAAAATACTTAGTATGCTTTGCAGTCAGCACAGTAGTGAGTAAGGGTGAAAGCATCAAAGGTGGGAGCAGGGTTACTTTAGTACACAGAACTGTAGTAACATTTGAGCAAAGACCAGATGAAGTGAGGCAGTAAGTCACGTGGGAGGTAAACTAGAAGAAGAATGGACCAGATGGAATAAATAAAAAATGCAAACTCTGGACTTGCCTTGAACTGTTGTCAGGTGAGTGAGAAAGGAACTGAAATTTTGGATTAATTTGTTGAAGCAGTTCCCAAACTCCACCATGTTCAACTTCCAGGTTTGTAAGGCACAAAATACTTAGTGCTCTGTTTCCTTCTCTTTCTCTTTGTTCTCCTCCCTTTTCCTACCTTTCCTTTCTCTCCACTCCTCTTCCTCCATTCTCTCCCTGTCTCCCTGTGTCTCTCCCCTAGCTCTTCCATCTTTTTTTTTTCATCTTTTGATTTTAAGCAGCAATAGATAAACTTCATATGCTATTGAGGGTTGTGCACTGGCCTGTGGGTCAGAAAACTGCTATTTCTCATTTTAAATTTGCCATATCTTAACTATGTAATTTTCTTTCCCTTCACCTGTAAAGTGAAGGTTTTGAATAAGATCTCAAAGGGTCCTTTAAGCTCTAAAAATTATTTAACAAAGACTATGGGGAAGGCAAAGATTTGCAATTTTAAATAAGGTGATTAAGTTCTGTGTTTTAAAGAATACAATCAAGAAAGTGAAAAGGCCTACAGAATGGAAGAAAATGTTTGCAAATCATATATCTGATAAGGGACTATATATACACACACATACACACATAAATAATGCTTAGAATTCAATAATAAAAACACATCTTGGTTTAAAAATGGGCAGAGGATTTGAATAGATATTTCTCAAAAAAAGATCATTTTTATTTATTTTAATTCCAATAAAATCCATAATGAGACCATTTTATAACCACTAGGATGGCTATAATCAAAAAGACAGGCAATAACAAGTGTTGGAGGGAGTGAAAAATGGTACAATTGCTCTGGAAAACAGTCTAGCAGTTCTTCAGAAGTTTTAACACGAAGCTACCATAGGATCCCACATTCTACTCTTAGGTATATACTCAAGAGAAATAAAAACATAAATACACACACACACACACACACACACACACACACACACACTAACTTGTACACAAATGCTTATAGTGGCATTATTCATAATAGCCAAAAAAATGAAAACAATCTAAATATCCATCAATTGATGAACGGATAAAGTATGGTTTATCCAAACAATGGGATGTTATTTATTAACAGAAAGGAATGAGAGAAGTATTGAATAATTCTAAAACATGGATGAACTGTGGAAACATTATGCTAAGTGAAAAACGTCAGTCACAAGAGACCAAATATTGTATGATTTCATTTATATGAACTATCCAGAATAATTTATTTATTGAACTATCCAGAACTAATTTAAAGAGATAGTGAATTAATGGTTGCCTATGGCTTAGGGTCTAGGATGAGAATAACGGGTGTTTGCCAACAGGTATGAGGTTTCTTTTTGAGGTCATGGAAATGTTCTAAAACTGACTGTGGTGATGGGAGTCCATGTTTTTGAATATAATAAAAACCACTGAAGTGTACACTTTAAAAGGGTAAACTGTATGATATGTGAATCATATCTCAAGAAAGGTGTTATATTTTTAAAAATCCAAGATTTTCAAAGCCTAAGAAAACTATTTAATGTGTTGAAGCAGGGAGCCTGATGCAGTGGAATGAGAACTAACATTGGTTCAGCAAACCCAAGTTAAAATTCTGGTTATGTCATTTATTAGCTTAATGGCAGTGGCTCAGTTTCTTAATCTGAAAATCTGAGGTAATAAAATCCTATCATTCCAAAGATTAAGTAGGACAATCTAAGTGACTTGAACATGTTAGGTACTGAAGAAATATATGTGCCTTTTCTTTGGCCCTTCTTTAAATTCACAGTTCTAGTATTTAGGAATCTAGAAAATAAAGTATGTAAATTGAGGCTACCAAAAAGCCATATCTTCCATTTTAAAGCCTAAGTAGATAGGAAACACTGTAATTACTTTGAGTATGTCAATGAAAAATTTAAAATTAAATTATACATCTCATTTACAATCATCAATAAAATGATTCATGAGAAAACTTTTGTTGAGTTGAGTGGAAATCCATTAAATGTTCTAAATTTTGGTTGTGAGCCACCATCATCTCAAAGCTCAAGGGGCCCCGAGCAGTATAGCAGAGGCCACTATGACCTTAACAGAAACCTTACAGTCATCTGTGGGAGTGTAATTTTAATAGCCAAATAATTCCAGCTCAATAATTCTTTATTATAATGCCATTTTATTCCATTACTTTGTTACATTATGTTAGAATTGCTGGAGAATCTGAGAATGGATGAAGTAAATCTTGGGCAATTTTAAATATGTGTGAGTTATCTTACTAGTTGGCCTCCGCTAGTTTGCACCTGTGCAACCTTCTCATACATTGCTAATAATGGTGTGTTCCAGGACTATCAGGGTAGCTGAGGTTGAAGATTAAAATAGTAATAATAATGCTTTAAAGTTATTGTCATATTTTATAATTTTTATATTATCTCCAACATATATTCCCTTACATCTCTCAAAAGCTCTTAATTCAATTCTGCTCAAACAATGTTTATTTACATTACATAAAGGAATCAAACCATAATATTGATATCTCCATTTCACAAGATGGAAAACTGAGGCACATATAGTGTGTACTCTTGTGGTTAGTTAAAGAATTAGTACCTAAAACTGGATCTTCTGACTGCTAATAAATTTCAGGATTTTTTAAATTATTGTTCCATCAAAGTTTCTCATGAAAAATAAATCTAATGGTTTATATATGGTTGACTCACTGGTTAAAACATGGTGATAGCAATGATCCAAATGTATTAATTCTTCGCAGTTCATTTGTTGCCTACTTCTCCCTAACACTAACACTAGTCCTGACACTAGCCAGTCACAGTGAGAGTACTACTGGAGCTATACTCAGTCAACCCCACGACTACACAAATCCTGCAGATAAAGTGCTTTCCACTGTGTCAGTGAACCAATGTTTATTCTACCCACATCTATCCTTCCATACAATACACCCAATCATCATGTCTCCAACTATCTATCATTTAGTAGATAGTATGTGCAAGGCAATACAAATAAGACAGAAATAAATAGCAATTATAATCACCTAGTGAACTGAGCATGAATACAGTCATATCCAAAATAATAAATGCTATAATAAAAGAAAGGAGAAAACATCTAAATGACTTTGAGTATTAGGGAGGATTCAAATGACAGCAATATTAAAAACATATTTTTCTACTCCTTAAAAAGTGTGATGACTAATGGATCTTTAAATGTTCTACAAAGAGATTTGTCAACACAATTTAAAGGAAAAAGAAACATAATCAGATTAGGCCTTCAATGAGAAAAATAACAAAGTACTGATTCCTAACAGGTGAGAAAAATCACGGTGATAAATGACATCATGGAGATCAAAGTAATGAGTGAATTCTACAGCAGAGGCTCCAAGAGGTGTTCATACGTGTGTGTATATGTGTGTGTGTGGATATTCTTTTATCCATTGGTCTGTCCTTTCCCTGATCCTAAAAATGTTCTTTGAGCACCTATCATGTGCCAGGTACTGTTCTGGATGCTGGGCTATGGGCATCAACAAGATTGACAAAGTTTCTGTCCTCTGGAAACAGAAAGAAGGAGAAAAATAAATCACTTAATTTCAAGTAATACTTAAGTATTATGAATAAAAATAAATCAAGAGTAGGAGACGCAAAGTGTCTGTATAAATTTGCTTATTGTCAGTGTGAAGGCCCTGGGATAAGAGAAAGCTTATTATGAATAAAGAACAAAAGAAGGTTGGATTGGCTGCAGTATTATAAAAGGAAGCATTAGGAACTGGCCTAGAGAGGCCAGGCCCAGATATCCTCTAAGGCCTCTGAAGCCCACAGTAAAGAGTTTATATTTTAAATATAACAGGAAACCTGGAGAGATTGGAGTAGAGAAATAATGAGATTTAATTTTCCTTTTATTAAAGCTTTCTGTAACTGCTGTGTGGAAAATAAGACTATAAGGAGGCAAGAGTTGGAGCACAGAGACCAAATAGGAGTTATGACACTAAATTACCAAGTGATAGGAGCAGACTGGACCAAGGTGTAGCAGTGGATATAGCATTTGTAGCAGAAAGTGTTGAGCAGTGTCAGATTCTGAATATAATTTGAGGCTTGAGCCAAGGGGACTTACTTAATGTGTTTAATAAAGGAATAGATTTACAGTGACTGTAAGCCTGTTACAATTGGAAAACAGTATGTTTTTTCACTGCAATTCCCTTATTTCTATAATCCTCAAATAGGTTGGTAACATTAGTATAAAGTTCTTTTTTATACCATATTAATATGAAACATTGGAAAAAATAATGAAAATTGGTGGAAATTATCTAATACTACAGAATGAAAGCAAAATCACCATGTACTCATTTGAGCATAATTGATTTATGAAATAGGACTAATGAGCATTCCAGCAAGTGAAATTAGTAAGTTTGTAGAAAGCAAACAAATACCTTAACTATCTAATATAAATTGCTTCCTGAAGGAGTTACTTCATAACATCAGCCAAATGTTGATTTCACAAGATTAGGCAGATGTATATTTTTGTTGGTTGGACTCAAATTAGGTTGGTCTTAATAAATCCTATTTACTTCACTTCAAGTTATCCAATTTTATTGCAATTTAGACATGGGCAGAATCAAGCTTCAGTTACCTGTTAATACAGATTTCTGTTATCGTTATTTTTCAGAATACAAATGAGAAAAAAGGGCAGGTGATAGTAGCAGAGTTTCTAGGATCTATCATCTTTCAAATACATTTTACCATGTAATGTTATCCCTACTCCCACCTTTCATGACTTCCATTCTGATACTCATCAACATCTTGCAGAGCTGGTGTTTCTTCGCCATCACTAACCACTTTTCACTTTAAAAGCTTCTATTCCTATTATGGTGATTAAGATAGAAGGTGTGACTTCTTAGGTTGGAATCTCAGTTCTCCATTGGCTAAGCTATATGGCATTTGGCAAGTTATTTTATCCCTTAGTGAATCAGGTTTCTCAACTGTAAAAAGCGGCTGATAATAGTACCTAAACAAAAACATTGTTATGGGAATTAAGTGAGATAATGAAGGTAGAGAGTTGTGCAATAATTGTTCAGTAAATCATTGTTATAATGCTGTGCCATAAGAATCACATTTTGGTGATAACAGAAATAGCTGGTTAGTAAAGATATCTCTGAGCCCAGCAGAATTTAATGTGAAAAATAAGCTTTGTTTGTGAATGAATAAAACAATAAACAAGTGTTTGTTGAATCTCTATGATGATGTACTAGGAGCTGTGGTGAAGCTATGTCTCTTCATTTAATTCAACAGTCTTGCAAAATATGGATCACTAATCCCAATTTACAAATGAGATTAATGAGGCTCAGATAGGTTAATAATATGCCACATTCACACAGCTAGTAGATTTGACCAGTATCTGGATGGGAAAACAGCACTTCATACTATTCTACAAATCTTGTTGGACAACGTTAGTGGAAATTCCCAGCTTTAAACCAATAAATCCATGAATATTCCCTTCCTCTTTAGCTTTCATTTTGAACAATAAGAAATATCAATCCTCAAACAGGTGACTGTCAGATGGGAAGGGGGTTGACGGGTTAAGTGAAAAAAGGTGAAAGAATTAAGAAGTACAAACTGGTATTTACAAAATAATCATGTGGATGTGAAGTACTGCATAAGGAATATAGTCAATAATATTGTAATAACTGTGTGTAGTGCCAGGCGGGTACTAGACTAATTGAAGAGATTGCTTTGTAAATTATATAAATGTCTCACCACTATGCTATACACCTGAAACTTCTACAAAATAATATTGAATATCAACATTAACTTAAAAAGTTACATTCTAAGAATAAAAAAAGTCTTGGAAATTAAATAAACATGATTTTGCCCCTCCCACACATGCACACACACACACACACGCGTGCATGTACCTGCATGCACACACACACATGAAAAGATATTTGGAAGAAAAATTCAGGGAATCTCTCAGAACCAAGACAGAAATCAAAACCACAAGATGAAAGAAAAGTTTCTAAATTTTAGTTGGACTTCCAGAAAGACAGGAAGAAAAATATAAAAGGGAATAAATTGTGGGAAAATTATATCAAAGTGGAAAGGAGATATGAGACAAACTGAAAAGACACAATTTCTAGACCAGGATGAATGAATTAAAACCACATGTGTGTTTTTACACACACCTTTAAACATAATGTACAATTCTATAATACATAAAGATAATAAAAATGTACATACAGAAAAATATCAATTACAAAGGAGTAAGAATCAGACAGCAGTAACAACGGATGCTAAGTGACAATAAATTAGTCATCAAATTTCTAGAAAAAATTATTTTTAATTTAGAATTTTATAACCAATCAATTGTAAGAACAAATTAAAGTCATTCTGTATATACAAAAACTTAGAAAGTTTGCACCTCACACCAACCTTTAAAAGTAGTTGCTTAAGGATATACTCTAAAAAATGAGAATGAAAACTAACAAAAAGGAACATATGGGGCATCAGAAATTGGAATTAACCAATAACCCAGTGAAAAGTCAGTGGACACCAAGAATTTCTTAAATAAGAAGAGTGAGAAGAAGGATATAAAAACAAGAAACCAAAACATAATGGGAATATTTAGAGGAAGAAATATTTTTGTTCTCCCCAGAAGAAAAAAATCAGATAATCTAGGAAAATAAAACTAACAAAAGTTTGTGGTATATAAAAGTATAATGTGTAATTTTGAGTATTTGATAGAGGGATAGAAATGGGAATCAATATGACCTTGATTCTAGGAATATTCAAGAGTGGCACAGAGGTCATAATGACTTGGAACTATTTGAAAGGAAGTAATACTACATCTGACGAAGGCACTGCTTTCATAGCTGTAATATATTTGCCAAGTAGGAGTCAAGATACGTTGTTGAAATGTGGCAACATGATATAAAGGTAAAAATATACTATTTAAAGTTTTAGCGGAGAGATTTAAATTTAAAAAAGCAATATAACTATGAAAAATTGAAAAGTTATACGAGTGGGCTAAACCTTTATCTAGCACAATAGAAAATCAACAACGATGCTAAAAATGATAAATCTAGACATATAGTAGTATAATGTATTTATTCATACAGAATTGAAACTTCCAAAAGACTACAGCAGAAATCATTAATTTTTTTCAGTTAAGAGATTGTCATTCACTATGTCTTCATAGATTATCTGAATGTCAAACTACATATGGAATTCTTTAATAATTTTTTAACCTCAGAATATTATAGTTGCCCAACAAATGTTAAGAACCAAACATGAGTATTTTTTTCTAAAAAGATAATAATATTCTAGGTTTTAAGAAGACAGCTTACTTTTAGAAAGAAGGAAAGGAGGAAGGATATATTGGACATCAACTCACCTAAGCAAAAGTCACTGAGGTCAGTGAAAGAGCATTTGAGCATGGAGTCTTTTTTGTCCCCTTCAGCATTAACTGGAAAAAAAAAAATGATTCTTTGTAGATTTGAGAAATAAAAGCATGATGATTAGAAAAATGACCATGGTGACTGATAGCTCAATGATGGCTAAACAACATAAAGAATTTTTTTTTAAGTTAATGAGTTGAAATTAGTTATTTAAAATTTCACTCAGTAAGGGAAAGAAACATCTATACTATATCTTAATATCTTCATCTTCTGGAATAAGCCACTTTCCTTATTCGACATGGATGTAAGATGACTATTTATAATATAGATAGTGATTTCACAATATTATTGAAAAGATAATCTTAGTATTTTCGAGTTATCTAAAGGAAGAAGCAACCCTAAGGATCATAAAGGAATGTATTCTCATAAGACATGTGCCTCTTAGAGAAGGATGGGAAAAGAAAAATGTATCCCCATCCACTGAATGATGGCAGGGACTGGTTGTATTTTGACACCTGATTCTTGTGAAAAAAAAAAATTGTCTAAAGGCATAATGGTGTGTCTCTGATGAGTGGATGTGTGTAGAAGAGTGCCTAAGCGTAGTCAGAGTCTCTTTAATGTGGCATCCAGCTGTGTGTCAGGCCTGTGTTACCTAAGCCTTCGGTGTCAACATTTGGTTGCCAATACTTGTCCCACCACATCTTCCTGTAACTAAATCTTCACTGCTGTATTGTTAATATTATTTAAAGTCTTTGGTCTTTCTTTATAGGGAATTAAGTTTATTATTAATGACATGTTCTACTCCATTTCTGCGAATAAATTTTCACCAGGAATGGTAATGAGTCGATTCAGGTAAGCTGATCTGTCTTCTCCTGAAAACAGCAAGTGTTAGGTCAAGGTTTCATGGAGTTGTCTACCTTCAAGACATGACAGAATTGAAAACACATCTGGCCTTTCATCTGACTGGCATAGGGTATTGTTCTCCTTCTTATGTCAGGTGCCTTCCTAAAAACTTTATAAATACTAGTGGAATGGATGAAGAAAAGAAGGAATGGTATGAATAAACTTACCCTTCATAAGTTGAACAAGAAAAGAGAGCTCACCTTGCTCTGCTTTGTCAGCAGAGATTAAGGTTACAGAAGTGGGAGCCTGCGATTCACTCTCAACTGACTGGAAGAGCGAGGTAGACTGGCTCAAGGTCTTTGAGTAAGCATAGCTCTGGACCAGACAAGGCAGGGATCTCCGAGATGGTTTTAACGAAGTTTCTTTTGCTATCTCACTCTTGCTTAAATTCATACCTGAAAATCCAAATTGGTGAGTGTTAGCAATAAGAAATAATCAGCAGAAGTTAATAAATAATTTTAATTCTTGTGATATATGTTTCTGGAAACTACTCTTGAAAAGGACCATTTAGGAATTAGAATTGAGTTAGTTTTGTTCATATTTTGTCAAGGGAAATGTTTAGAGATTTTTGTCAAATAGTTCTCAGAAATAAACAGTTCTTCTTCTAGTTTGATCTTTCACCATTTAAAAAGGTTCTGTATAAAAGAGACAAGATGTTTAAGTTCATTTGGGTCATTATGAGAACAATGACTTTAATTATCTTTGGATAAAACTAACCATTTAGGTTTTCAAGAAGAAAAATAAATAAAACCTGATTCATAAACATTCAAATTAATATTACTAAAAGAAGTCCTTCATTCTATATCCTAGACTCCCTTAAACATATACATAAATGCATTAATGGAGACCAAGAAGCTGGAAAGAGATGACATAGTATATTACTAGCTAGCAGGCAGGGGTCAAGAGAGAGCATTCCTATGCTGAGGGAAACAGTCTCTCCCCTCATTCAGAGAAGGCTGATCTGCTAGAATGCACCTCAACAAGACTCTGACTCCATAAGTGGAAGCCCCAGCAACTGTATGCTACAGCAAGGATGACCCCACTAACCTGTCCCCATGCACTGCCATCCCTGATATCAATCTCAGGTCATTCCTCATCCCCAAACTCTAATCCTCAAATATCTCTGGTCACTGCCATTTCTGACAGCATCTCCTACCCAGACTGTGTCACTATGTCCCTGGAAACATGTCAAACATCGGAAAACCCACTTAATTTCATCCTCAGGTTTCTCTATAGGTAATCCGTTTTCTTTCCTAATCTCACCCAAACCTGCACTACACCATGGATTTATTGAAGAATAATTGACAAATACAGTTTTATAACTTTAAAGTATACAATATGATGATTTGATATACAGTAGTCTCTCCCTTCTCTGAAGTTTTGCTTACCACGGTTTGTTACCTGAGGTCTGAAAATATCAAATGAAAAATTCCAGAAATAAATGATTCATAAGTTTTAAGTTGCCTGCCATTCTGAATATTGTGTTAAAACCTCACAAATCCCACTGTGGCCTACCAGAGATATCAATCACCTCTTTGTCTAGAGTGTACAAGATAAAGAGATCACATTCATATAACCTTTATTACAGTATATTGTTATACTTGTTCTATTTTACTAGCAATTGTTGTTAATCTCTTACTGCATTTAATGTATAAATTAAACTTTATCACAGGTATGTATATATAGGAAAAAAGTAAGGTTCAGTACTGTTTATAATTTCAGGCATCCTCTGGGGTCTCTGAATGCATCCTCCATGCATAAGGGGGAGACTATTGTACATATACAGTGTGGAAGGAGTACAGAGATCAGGATAATTAACACATACATCACCTCACATAGTAAACTCTTTTTTCGTGTGGTAAAAATGATTATCGACCATCAACAACTTTCAAATATACTGTACCATATTAATAACCAGTCACCATGCTGTACCTTCGGTCCTCAAAAATTATTCCCCTTATAACTGAAAGTTTGTATTCTTTCACCTTCATCTCCCCATTTTTCTTCATCTTTCCTCTCCAAACAAACAAACAAACAAACAAGAAAATACAACTTTAAAATTCCTCTATTTAGGCTATTCCTCTATTCTTCTTTGTTGTCATTTTCATTTATTACTTCCAGGTTATTTCCCACCATTCATGAAAAATTTAGCTTCTAAGTCACTTCTCTCTTGCTATTTTCTGCTTAATACCTATCATTCTCATCCATAGTATATATTTTATTTATTGACTCTATTTTTGTATACATCACTAGATTGCAAGCTCCATGGGACACTGATTTTTCTTTTATTTACTGCATTGTCTTCAGCGTCTAAACAGTTTTTGGCTCATGACAGTCAACGAATGTTTGTTTAATGCAAGGTATTAGAATGTGATACCGTGTACTCCTTAAGGGCAGATTTATGTCATAACTTCTTTGTATCTCTACCACCAACTGCCAATGCCTGGTGCATAAGGGGTATTCAGAGAATGTTTGGAGAATATTTGGTTATTACTCAGCTCTTTCAAGAACCTCATTGTATTCAGTAAGTCTATAAAGAGATCTTTATGGGCCCAACTTCAAAAACAAAGGAACTAGGTCAACGATGTGATTTTCAAATAACTTAGCACTGTAAGGTGTTGTTTTAGAAAAATAGTTGTCACATTTCCCCATTTCATTTTACTTTGGTAGAAGATAACTTTTACAAAGCTGCTTGATCCTGAAGTACTGTCTAAAAAGAGAGTACTGAAACCTAAGTTGAGAAGCTGGATATGCAAAGTCCATATGATGTGAATAAAATCATGGATTCCCCTCACTTCAGCGTTGGGTTTGGGCTTCATGCCACATTAGGATAAAGAGACTTCTGTGTGCTTATTACACTTCAGGCTTTGGGGTTGGTGAATTTTTTAAAAATTGTTTATTATTGTTAATTATGCCTATAGCACCTGGTGTTCCTAGGTGGTCTCCCATCCAAGTACTAACCAGGCCCGACCTTGCTTAGCTTCCGAGATCAGACATTGGGCTTGTTCAGGGTGGCATGGTCATAGACCATGGACCATGGCCCCACTAGGTCATCCACGTCTGGTGAATTTTTTAAAAATTCTTTTTGGCAAATATTTATTTTATGCAAGTAAATGCCTCAACACATTTTCATTGTAAATGTTTTTAGTTATAGAGGTAAATAGAATAAAAAAATAAAAACATTTTTGCTCTGATTCCAAAATTCTAATCTCTTCCCTAAATGCAACAAATGCTATCACTTTCCTGCTCTTTGTCTACATAATTCTATACATAAGGAGGTCCATAAAATAGTTTTCTTACACAAATGGGATCAGCCAGTACGACACATTACACATTTGCCCACAGAATATGCCTTGAATATTTTTTTCTGTATAGATCTACCCTAGCCTTTTTACACTATTGCATTATATTCCATAGTATGTATAAACCATAATTTACTGTTCATTCCCTTGTCAATGGAAATTTAATTACTTTTCAGTATTTCACTTTAAAAATAATACTACGATTATTCTGGCATATGCCTTTTCTTGCATATTATAGCATTCTTGCATATGCTTTTTTGTACACACTGGGTATTTTTCCAAAAGGAAACATTTAGATGCACAACTGCTAGTTGGAAAGACCTGAATATTTTTCATTTAGATAAATAAAGCCAAACTGCCCTCCTTAAAAGCTTTGTCTTTTCTCACTTCTAAAAATAGTAGAAGATGAAATCCATTTACTTATACCTTGGCCAGCTCTAGAGCATATCAACTGTTTTAATACCGAACAAAATTAAAAAAATGAAAACCACCAACAAACAAAATACAAAAAATGTTTTAATTTTCATGTTACAGATTGAGCATGTTTTCATATATTTCTTAGACAACTATGATCTTAAGTGACTAAGATATTTTATAGTTTCTCTGCTGTTGTTTTTCTTATTATTTATAGGTAGTGTATGTATAGCATATATTACATGTAATATATGTTTATGTTTATTTAATTTTCCAACAATCTTACAAGGCAGATATTGTTATTTCTATTAGCTATGGGGAAACTGAGACTTAGAGAGGAGAGGTTACATGCTTTACATCACAGTGACAGGTAAAGAGAAGAATATAAAACTACTTATATTCTAAGTAGTTTTTAGTGCTCAAACCATAACATCATAAATTTGTTTGAAACTCCTGAACACCATCCAGTCACTTCGAAATTCACAGATACTGAAATGTAAATAGCAAAGTCCATACCAATAGAAGCTAAAACACAGAAGGAACATAGCTGGAGACACATCAGCTCCTACTACTCTCCTTATTTGTCTGTCCATATGCAGATCTTCTATATTAAAGTAAATTTTGAATGCAGTAATTGGAAAGTGAAAAGGATAATGCAAGTGCATCAGTACATCGAGTACTCAATTAATGAAACGTTTGCCATGTAGTTACTTGTGTCAATTTCATTTTTTAAGACCGTACAATCTGGGTCATAATAGGTATGGACAAGAGGTGAAGACAGATGAAAGATACATTTTCAATAATTATATTTATTATAGAACAAAAACATTTAAATTTCACTCACATTTTTCAGGTCAATAATGTTTTGCTACTTAATTTTATAATCTGTTCATGAATTAACTACAAGTTTCTAAGGCACTCTTCAAATGCATAAATTCTAATAAAGACAAGCACAGATACCAATGCAATGCCCTTTAGGACAAAATGGGAACCCTGAAAAGAAGTAATAAGATAGTTTTTTGAAATAAGTTCTACAGAACTAAGACATGGTTGAATAGAAAAAAATCAGATAAACCTAGGGTTGGAGATTTTATCTTTCTGTTTTATAAGACTATGTATTCATTTATTTTTCACATTAATTCTTAGTGTGCAAATAAAATGAGAACTAGAAAGGGATGCAAGAAAGAATTTTGAATTGACTAGAAGAATAATACTCTGTCAGCTTTCTAGGATTCTGTAATGACAAAGAAAGAAAATACTACTTTGAAGATGAATTCCCCAAGGTCCACTGAAATCCTACTAAAACATCATAAATCTCCTGTGGTTAAGAACAACTAGCATTTTCTATACTACATTCAAGGCATAGCATAGGACAAATCTATCCTAGAAAGTTTTTATGCCTATGAATCTTTTTGTAATGTGGTCTGATACTTTTATTTAAGAGACACTGATATAGAATATTAAATGGTAAGCTTTCTATTTCTGGGTCCTGGTTGAGAACAGCCTTTTACTCTAGCAGAACATATGAGTAAAAGAATAAATAATCGATCCTTTGGTGGAGACGGGGAAGGTGCACAGATGGAAGAGAGTGATAGTTGATGGTAAAGGTGATGAACTGAGACAGAAGAGCCCTGGCCCCTGGGACCCTGAAAAAATGGTCTCGATAGAAACCGTAGAAT